GAAAAGTACAATTTTCAGACTTCATACTTTAATTACATACAACAATAAATATANTTCTTTTAACAAAGTATTACAGTTTTAGTTTTAAGACATTGTCAAAGTTATTTGGCTTTTATTAGGAGCAAATCTACCAATGAAGACAACTCTCAAAAATTATCACAGAAAATAATAGAATATTTGATATGTAAATCATTTGGTATCAACTTTTGATGATGATATTTTCTATGGAATAAACAAGAACAGCTCCACCATCAAGTCCCAGATATAACGATTGATCTGATTGGTTGATATTTTCACTGGTGACCTTTGATCTGGGAATATCAGCCAATAATTCACCAGATATCATATCCCAGAGTCCAGTGTTTCCATGGATATCGGAAGCTAGAATCGAATCTCCACATATAGCCACATTTTTTAAACTGAAAAATCAATGAGATAAAATTAAGAATTACAAATGATATGATTATACAAGGGAGATAATGAAATACAAGGGAGATAATGAAATACAAGGGAGATAATGAAATACAAGGGAGATAATGAAATACAAGGGAGATAATGAAATACAAGGGAGATAATGAAATACAAGGGAGATAATGAAATACAAGGGAGATAATGAAATACAAGGGAGATAATGAAATACAAGGGAGATAATGAAATACAAGGGAGATAATGAAATACAAGGGAGATAATGAAATACAAGGGAGATAATGAAACGCTTGTTCGCTTAATAAACTCATTGGTTCACATGTTTATATCACCAAAAACCCTTCATCTTTGTTCTTTGGCCTTCCATATCTGAGAAGTGGTGTTATAGCTAATTTACTAGAGAAACCCTGTTGTAAATCCAACAAACCCCAAGCACAATCAATGTAAATCCAACTCACCCTTTCCAAGAGAACTGTAGAGATTGGTAATCATGTAGAATTAGACTGGAGTTGTTAGTAATGTTAACTATCACCACGTAGCCCGGGCTGTCTGATTTAACACGATATAGAAGATGACATACTAGATACCCCTGAAAATATACAAAGTTATTGATGAAATCATTGGCATCTCTCGTCAGTTTCCATAAAGCTTTCAGCACTCTCCTT